ACATAAGTAATTTATAAACTTATTATATCAAATGCAGCCAAAATTCTTAATCAAAACATCTTAACACAAAAAAGAATCAACCTTTGGTTTTTATGAATAAAAACAACAAAAGTATAAAAACTATAGACTAGAATATAATTTTATAATGATAAAGGTTTCTTAGTGACACAAATTCACTTTAATTCAAGATTCAAATTATAGAAGTTCAACAATACAGATTACATAAAAATAGTTAAAACAAAAAATACAAATTAATGACTTTAAAATGAATTTCAAAACAAGTTCATAATTTTCTTGAAATAAACAAAAAAGTAATGTAACAAAAATTAACATTTTATTTCTTACTTTTTGAGGGAACGTGGTCGAAAATTAAACTTACTAGCTTTAATTACACTCTTCATGCTACAGAGTCTACATTATTTGACTTCTTTTACATTTCCTCTTTTTAAGAAACAATAAATTTTTTGTAAAAGCAGTACTACAGGTTAAATAATTTTAGCTAATATCATTAAAAGATTAAGTAATTATGAGCTTTAGTGCATAACAAATTATGTTTCTAATACTTCCAAAATATTATGCACCTATTTTGGTCTACACGCTGTAGAAGCAAACTTATTTCCATTACAAATAAATCAAATATGGAATTTTAAATTTCAAGAACTGATACCAACAATCGAAAAATTTTAACTACTTCTTTAGGATGTAACAATGTAAAACAAAACTAAAAATTTCAATATAATTTATTAAGGGCATAATTTGAAATTTCTGCTTAAAAACACATATAGTTGCAATTGACAGAAAAAAATTATTATTGTAACAATACATTTTGTAAACACCAAGTGATTTAATTGTTTCTCCCATTCAGTGAAATAATTAAAAAAAATTACTTATCAAAGAGATTATCATCTCCATAAAATCAAATTATGAGCGAAATTAGTATAGGAAGACTAAAACCAGTTGAACGTTTAATTTGTTAACCTTTCTTACTAAAAAAACAATTCCTTTTCAGAAAAAATATAACACAACAATTTACTAGTGTTAAATAATCTAGTTCTGCGATTAATAATTATATGTATAAAGAAGAAAAAGGAAATAATACTGTGTCTCAGAACTGCTACATTGTATACACATAATGTCAGCTATTTAGAAAAATTTCAGTACAAACAGATCTATACTTGCTTGATTTATAAGCATTGAAACATTTAAAGTTAGTTACAATTTTAGAAATTGGCAATCTTCTAAGTATTAGAAGACAGTTTTGAAGTTTACTGAATAATTCTCTAATTATGCGAGTAATTTTATTTATGTATGAAAATACACAGAATATTTTAATGTAAATGAAATAATATTGAATGAATAATTTAGTATCTATAAAAATATATGAAGTATTTAAGTGATTTAAAAATGTTACACCATTATAGGAGAGAAAGCAGAATAATAATACTATAATACAAATGTATACATGTATCACCAATAAAATATTATATATTCACACTTTAGTTTTGAGATTCTGCATAATCATGACACAGTTCAAGAAATTCTCATCCTAACAAAACTGTATAGAGTGTAAATGTTCATATCTATGCATGCTACGAAAGGTTAATAAAGGTACTAACATGTTATGTGGATTGCAGCAGTTTCTAGAGAAAAACGTACCATGAGCTAAACATTTCAAAGTACACTTTTTTCTTGCCTATAGGAATTCTTTGTATAACATGGAAGCATAATTTTTCAAACATTATTTTGATTTGTTATTATAACTGAGCTATAACAAATCAACTGCAAAATTTACAAACATTTTTCCAATTTCAAAGTTTTAATTGCTTAAAAGGAAGCTTGCATTAAAATTTTTCAATAAATATTTGTTAGAAGATTAAATTTCTGAATTTACTAAAACAAAAGTAATATCAGTTAACACGAAAAAAATATACTGACATTATGATGTTATATAAATATATATATTTCCCCCAAAACATGCTCTTTATCACCAGTTATATAACAAAATACAATTTTAGCTCATATAAATATTACATTTATGTGCATATTAGTACATGTTTATACTATTGCCACATTTTGATGCAAAAGTATATAAATAATATTCTGCAATAGTAAGCAAAAAGAAAATATTTTATTTATATAAAGATCTTCATACAAAATGAAAAACTTATGCATTTTGATTTATCTACAGCCTCTTCAACTATGCATAAATAAATGAATAAAAAATCCTAAGCTCTATTATTTTAAAAGTAAACATCTGAATAATTTAAAATATCTTGCGAGACATAAAAAATTAATACAATTTCAATCACTCACTATTTCTAAAAATACGGTTTATTTCCAAATTTAAAATGTAAAATTAAATTTATAATAGTTGCCTACAACACAGTATTTAATTTTAAATACATAAACAAGGATCTCGGTCAAACCTTTCGGTACAAATCAAATAAATCCCAGTTTGTGAATGTGGGCAGCTCTTTAATGTTTTGTCACAGAGTGTGATATGGTGACCACAGGAGCAAAATGTTCTGAAACTCTTTAAACTCGAAGTATTACACTTAATATGCAGCTCATTCTCTCCAATACTTGTGTTTAAATACATAAAATGTCATTTTATAAAATCGAATCAAGAGAAAAGTTAGCACCACACCCATTCCATGCGATAAAAGTATATAATTAATACCTTACCTTGGAAGGATACATACCAGCAACAGTATATTTTTAAATGCATACAATAAATGCCTACCCTTTGTACTTTTCATTCAACATTATATTGTTATGTATATATTTACAATCATAGTCTTTTAGTAGTCAGTATAGCCTATCAAGACGTTCACAATCACTCTCTCATATGCATATTCTTTAAAACACCTTTACATACTTATTTTTTACAGATCCATGCCATTTACACATAACATTAAACATAAATAAATCAACAATTTTAAAGCCCTTTTAAAACATTCAGTATCACATAAAATGGTATTGCCTATGCAAAGGCATTAATCAAATGGGTAACACAGAGTTGAAACCAAATAATACAATACTTACAATCACATTTTGATTATCTGACTATCATAAATCAAAGTTACTGTTCAATTAAGCTCAGAAACATAAAATAAAGCAATGCATTTACAGCAGGATCTCAGTTACCTATCTCATGATTCTAAGAAAATCAATAACAGCTAGCATAAATTTTTAGCAGAAGCATTCAAACACTATCAGCTTCTTCAACTGCAACTAAATGAAAGACTAGTACCAGGGCCCAATTAACTGAGTGGGATCAGAATGAAATATAGCTAAGTGAGGTTTGAATCTAAATTTAAACATTAAAACAATACTTTGTGAACCATTAAATACATGATATTTCAGCAATAATTGTTAATTATAAATATAATTGTGTAACTTAATGTATCCCATTAATTTCTGAAGCGGGAAACTAATCCCCCTCAGAGATATATTCTAGAATCATTACTTTTTTTTTTTTTTTTTTTTTTTTTGGAAGCAGGAGAGGTGAAAAATGAGCAATGGCCTAGATGGGACTCAAACCTGGACCTTTGGAATACACGGTGAGTATGCTAACATTACACCATGAAGGTATGCAGAAAGGAGGAAGAAAATACCTTATATACTCCCCTTTTAAAGGGCTACTGGAGATTAGGAGACCATATCGTCAAATTCTGGTGGTGAAGAATTATTGTCCATCCCTTTATCCACCACTGTAGAGTCATTAGGTTTTTTTTTTTTTTTTTTTTTTTTTTTTTGAAGCAGAAGTGAAAAATGAACACTGACCTCGCTACTCGAACCTGGAACTTTTGAAATACGCAGAGTGTGCTACCGCTCTAAACACGAGCAGCAGAAGGGGATAAAATACCTTATAAGAATTAAAAGAATATATTAATATACTTATTTCTTAATAGAACTTTTCAAGCTTCTTTACGGAAAAATACTTAAATGGAACTTAACAAAGCTTCCATTTTATGCAAGTAAAAAATTTCTTACTAAATTTTCACTTCCCAATAACAAGCATAAAAGAATTAAGTACTTGAAATTTTTAAAAGACGTTTTAGACCTTGAGAAAACTCAGAAATTGATTTTTGGAATGCTTTTCCTCTCTACATTTTTAAATATAATCAGTATCAATTAAAATGTGACATAAATTTTTTAAATCCAATGCAAAGCAGTATCTTAAAATCAATCAAAAGGAAGAGCATTAAAATCATATGTTTAGATAAGAAAATTTTTTATACAAAATTAATTATTATGCTAAATTTATGACAATAAGTAACAAAATTCAGGATTTTAGACTCTTAAATTCTAAAACATAAGGATCAAAATGCTCTTCCCCGACATAAATTTCAGGCTAATAAACTAATTAATGAGTAAAAAAAGGTGCATTACATATACGCATTCTAAAGCACCAGCAATGAAAATTATACAAATTGAAATATTTTGTACAAAATAACTACCACCCATAAAAAGCAAAGCTTTTATTTTTAAACTAGTATTTTTATTAAAATTCATCATTGAAAACAGAATGAAGAAATTAAATTTATAACTTTATTTTTATTTAATCATCAAATTCTTTTTTCTTTATTTGTAGGTTACTGTGCTATTTATTAGTGCTATAACATACATGTATAAACCTTGTGGTATATACTTTGAGGAATACAAGAAGATAAAGCTATGAATTAAAGTGGGAATAATATGAATAAAAAAATCTGAAAGGGTTCAGATTTCAAGGATCCGCAAAAAATTTAATATGGTTTATCAGTAGAGATAGCTTAGGTGAAATAGCAAAACATTTTATGGATAAGATGAGTACTACACATTAGACTAGCATGAATTTATACATCTTATATATACTTTTATAGAAAATTTTAATGTTTTTATTATATATGATGAATTAAATGCATTTTTATTTAATTTAGTCAGATTTATATATATATAAACTTAAAAGTTTCTATTGCTTTTAAACAACTTAGTTTGTTAATCAATAACAAACAGATTAAACCTGAAAGATAAATATTTTATATTTTGCCAAATGGGAATAGATTCAAATGAAAAGGAAAACAAAAATGAATCAACACAAAATTGTATTTTGAGACAAATAGCCCTCTTGGGCTTTTAAAAAAAGTTAAAGGAAAATTTAAGCGTAAGTTAAATGTATACTACCATATCTGAAAGTTACATGGTAGGTGGGACTTATGAAAAGTATGTAAGTTAGGGTCTAATTTTGCATTACTAGAATTCAGTCAAATGAAACCAAGGGCTAAATAATGCTAAGAAAAAAATCTGTAACAAAGAATGAAGTTTTCATACATATTAATACAAAATATTTTAAAATAAATGCAATTATTTCAATGCTGAGAGCTTTATACGTGTTAGTATACTTATCTGATAACTCAATTTAAAATGTTGCAGAATGAGATTAAAAAAGAAATACAGGATATCAAACTTCCCCCTCCCTGTAAAAAAAAAAAAAAAAAAAAAAAAAAGACTGCACTGTGTATATAAACATGGAACAAATATGCTGTCCATGAACACAATCATAAATTAACAGTTATTGCTTTAGAATTGAAGAGGGTTGAGGAGTTTTAGAGTATTTAGGACAAATTACATGCTTATTGTTAAATGTATATTATTCCTTTAAAGCAAGTTCTAATACACAGACAAAATATTTCTTTTATCAGCATTTTTTGAATTACTGCAAATTAATTACAAGTCTAAATAAATTTATTCAAATAAGGAAAATTAGGAATTATGCAAATCTGAGTTCCTGTAAATAGAAGCATTGCTGTAATTTGAAACAATACAGATATATGAGGAATAAAGGTTCAAACAATAATTGCTAAAACATTATGATATATTTTTATATAAAAAGTAAATACAACTAGCTTGAGTTTAATTTTTTTACAGCAATATGGTTTACATTTTATTTCTTTAAAATATAATTAAGAAATTCAGAAATGATCTTAAATAATGAAATTTGATTTGTAGATAGAATATCTTGTTATAATGCTTTAGATTATAATGCTATATTGCTATATGTGTCATACACAGGACATTCACCTGTTATCCTGTATACCAATAAAAGCAGATTTTCACAAATATGTTACAATCTATTAATTGTGAATATCTAATAGGAAGATCTATTCAAACCCTAAAATGATATTTTTAATACACAAATTCTCCATAATTTTTATTATTGAGAATAGTGGTATTCTTAACCAACTGAGATAAATGAGATCCAGCTGCAATTTCAAGCCAAAAATTAGGATTTCAAGGTCAAAAATTAGAACCACATGTTCTATAATACTAAAATAATCATACAGGTCTTGAATTCAAAACAAAAAGTTAAGTTCTATATACAACATACATTACATAACTAACAAGCTAAAACTTTACTTTTCTCTCATAAAAAATACACATAATTTCATTACATGAAAGATATACATATGTGGGAATGAAGACATGTTAAGTAGAACAAAAAAATCTGCAATGCCCCCGCCCCCCAAAAAAAAGATGAGTTAGAAGGTAGAAGATTTATACTGAATAACTGAAATTAAACAAAATGTTCATAAATTTTAAAATACAACAAGGTTTATCACAGTACATTGTCAAACTATTCATAAACTAATAAAGAATTATGATTTTATTCTGCTTTATATAATATCCTCAAAATTTGGCACTACAAGATAAAGCATTTATTTATTTTTCTGAAAGAGGAAGTATAGTTTCAAATAAAAAAACTCCTTTATAATAAATATTATCCTTTCAACCAGAAAGCAGGTAAAGGTGTACAGAGTATACGACATGTACTTTAAAAATATGCACAAACAAGTTCAGACTGCTATTCCACATCAAATATATAAAAGGGTTCACAACACCCAACATATTATGTTGAAATAATTCAAAAAATTTGCAGTAACATTACTGTGCAACAGAAATTAAACCTTATAAATTTGTGCATAGGCCACATTCAACACCGTTATAGTGATTTAAGAACCATATGGAATTTATATCTATAGCTGCCAAAAATACATCCAAACAGCTTACGAAGAGCTGAAATTAAGCATGCGTTTTAAAAGACTCACTAGTCAGCAACAAACATTGCACACAAAGATATTTCCAGCATATAAACAAGTACAGAGGGCTGTGTTTAACAGTTGTAAACTTTGTTATTGTAACACACAAATGAAGACACAGTATTTATTGAAATGTCAGCATGCAATATGTTTAAAACATTGTTAGATTTCTGAAGTGATACAAAACACCTCAATACATAAAATATTTATACACCTGTCACTTGTAAAAGAGTAAAAGAGGGTTTCAGAACTATATTAAAAATTAATATACAGATTCAAGCACTGGCAGACATTAAAATAATGGATGAATGCATATAACATAATTTAAATTTCAAACAATATGATTAAACTCTGATATTTATTACATTAGTTTAACATCTAAAACTATTATTCAAGCTAGCAAATGGTTCATTATACAGTTCTGGGAAAAAATTTAAAACATTTGCTTATATATATATATTTTTCAGTATTAAAGAATTCATACAGATGTGTTTAGCTTGACACACACACACACACACACATATATATATATGTGTGTGTGTGTGTGTTATCTTAGAATGATGTAATAAAACTTATCATAGAGTTAAACATCTGTCAAAATTTAACATTAATATAGAATTACAAATAATTTTAGGTTTTAATTGGATACACTAATTATGTAATAGTTTTAATCTATTAGTTTAATTAACTCAACAGCTGGTAAGTTTAGAAGATTAGTTATGTTGGAAAATGATAATAGTTTCATTTAAACAATAAATCGATTTATAGTCAATTCATTAAACAACAAATTGACTTACAGTATTCAACAAAAGTATGGCTATAATTTGAAAAAATACAAAAGTATGAGGAATAAAGATTCAAACATATGCAAAAAGCTAAAAAACGACAAATAAAATAACATATAGACTATTAATAATTCTATTAAAAGCACTTCCAATCGAACATATTAAGTAGACAATGAATGCATTTTTTTCACAGGCAATTTCAAAAGGACAACAACTTTTAAAATTGAAACTTTTGACACATTTCATCACAATTTGATATGATTCATGAACACAGCCCTGCTGCAAATAAGAAATCAATAAAATAGTTATTTTGATACAATACATAAAACCTCAGACTCAAAGAATTAACTCTTGGCTAATCAGAATCTTTACAATACATACATAACAAATTCTATAACCTGGTTGGAATCTTCCCACCCTGAGTAATTTCCAACAATATTCGTATAGGCATGGGAAGACTCCTACAAGAACACAGCAAGGCTGCTGAGGACATTGCTCTTGACAAGGCCCCTGGGGGTGTCACTGCCTTGCTTGCAAAACAAAAAACAGACTAAAAGAAAATCACAACTAAAATCTATCTACAATGCATTATGATAATTAGACTATGTACAATTATATACAGGATGGATTTGGAAGAGAACTACTTTCCAAAATCCAGCAGACCCTCACATTTTGCAAGTTATACGCAGCAGCCAACAAGGGAAATACTAAAGCAATACTTCAAACAGATGCTTTATTTGAGTTAAGAGGACAGCACTCCATAAAGATCTTAACCCTATGGCAGTGTTAAAATTGATAAATCTCAGGCCCAATATAACAAAGCTGTCCCTGACCTGCTTGCAATATAAAGTCTTTTTATTCAAAATCCAAAGTGCCAGAAAGCATAATAGGAACACTTTGGCCAACAACAAACAAATTTGTTTACTTTGAAACATGCTAAATCACAATATAAAACTCTTCACTAATAAGTAAATAATAAATGTACACAGAGAGGAACATACATACATCAAAAGGTAATTTTTAGATAACAAGTACTAAATAGCTTAATCTCAAACAAGTTGCTTGCAGCAACATTCATAACTAAGTGGCAGCATTTATATTAAGAATATCATCAAAGTTATTTAACAATACAGTCCATATACTATAGATCAGGGACAGCACATGGAGTTTTATTTCAATACAAACTCAATTGGCAGTGACTGCTATTTCATATCGCATTCAAATCACCATCATCAGCGATACTTAAGACTATATCTTGAGATACTACTTATTGGCGATAGACTAGTTATCCTCATCGCTCAATTCAAGGATTTGTAAGACCATGCGATGGCACAGCATCGCTTCTAGAGGTCAAAGACATAATAAAGGATGAAATTCTCTGCCTTATCAAAGAGGGCTGTGCATCAAAAGTACCCTGGATGTTCCATTATACCATAATATTGTCCATTGTAAATTACTCCTATTTCTCTAAGAACCTCACCACGTATGGTGGCCTTGATTGTCCAATTATGAACATCTGTACCCTCACGCTCCCTCTCTAACCTGTCCACATCTACTATTTTTGAGCTCAGCCTTTCCAGAATGATGCCAATGTCTTTAACACTTAAATGCCGATTTTGCTCCAGTGATAACTGATCAACTAATAATAGATACCTTTCAGACAATTGTTCTTCTTCATTTGCAGTATTTTCTGTATCAGATTCTGATTCTTCTTGAGCTGGTATTTTAGTTTCTTCTGCCTCATCCATAAAGCGAACATGACCTTTAGTTGTACCTTTCTTTACAGGCCCTACAGATGGGGTGGCAGTGGCTGTAGCAATTGCAGTTCCCTCTGGCACTTCCTGAATGGGCGAGGTAGCGACGGACTTGTTTACTTGAATTTGAGCACCTTTCTCGTGGAGAGCAGAGCAGTGAAAGTCACAAAGAGAATGATCATGTTCTGGACTGGTTTCCTTGTCTTTGCCCTCAGTCTGTGGAAGCATCCTTGAAGAAGGCCGTGGACCCAGTCCTTCGAGAGTGAGCTTAGTACGAGGGATAGCACTGACAGTTTCATCAGTAGAAGTGGCAGTGTCTGCAGTTTGAACTTCTTGAGAAACAACTTCCACTCTCCAAACAGCTTCTCTATCACCAGAACGAGCTCTACCGTCGGCCGATCGTCGAATATCTCTCTGATCCCAGTGAAGAACAACTGTAACTCTTCCTTTGTTATCCATTATTTTCCAAGAAGGTTGCTTGTCAATCAGTTCCATGCTGTTGATGGCCTCACAAACTATGCGAGGAATGGCAGTAATGGCTATACAGATGAAAGGATAAGCTCAAACAGGAACACACTCTTTATTTAAATCTGCTTAGCACAATCCAAAATTCAGGAACCAGAGCAAAATAAGGAAGACCTCAAAACAAAAGGAAAATAAAACATCACACATGCCTGAAGTGCACATAATTTTTTTTCATGCAAAAAATGGCATAAAAAATTAAAAAAGTAAAATATGCAATTATTGTAAAATATGCAAGAGAATAAAAAATAATGCTCTAATATAACAATAAATTCATTTGTTAGTACTGAAACATAAGAAGAAAATTTAAAATTAAAGGTTTGGGGTTTCTTTTTTAAAAGCATGCTAAAATAATAAGAATATACTGAGTAAAATAAGCCTAGAACAACAGCAGGTATGGGATGAAATAAAGATGAAAAAAATACATACGAAAAATTTAATTTCATGCATTTATACATAAACATGAAATGAGAGTCATAAAATATCGTATAACAGAAAAGTAAACTAATTCTGTATTTAAGTATTATAAACAAGAGTGGCAGAAAGTTAAAATACCAAGCAGGTCCAATCTGAATAACTTTCACTTGAAAAGGAGCTATTAATTAAAATTACGGCTTTCCTATCATCCACTTTCCTAATCAAAATCAGATCTATTTCGAATGAATTTCTATGCATGATTAAATTCATACCAAATTTCACTAAGCCTAATCTTTCGACATACAAACCTCCTGTCAATTTAGTAAAATTTAAGTGCTAGAGAGAAACTTAAATGTAATCCATAACTTCCAACAACACGAGTTCTAGAAAATGTGATACATTGGTAATTAACAAATGGCAGTTTTAAAAATGCTAAATGTTTTGTGGAAGTTTTTCAGTGTATTTAAAGGGATACTTCTTAACCCATTTTGGCAGAGATGCAAAATTCTTTATGCTACATTTTTAGCAGCACTCAAAAGGCAGAATCTCTAATTCAGAGACATGATAGACGAAACTTTTTTTTTTAAGTTACAACTGTCAAAAAAATTGTTGCTATAATTAATAATTTAAATCACATTAAACAATTAATTCAAACTGAAAAAAAATTCAAACATGATTTTCATATGTTCCTTTTTATTCAATACACTGGAACAGCATCAAATAGAAAACTGCATTTTTTCTGTATGCAGTTAAAAGGAATCAAGACTTTTATGTTGCAGTGCTTCTCACAGCAATGATGTACAAATCTGTAATGTGTTTACCAGTATCAAGCAAACTAATCAGAACAGTTAAAATATTTCAGAAATATTAGAATCTATCATAAAACTGAAAGTAGTTTCATAATTAAATATAAACAAAATTGAAGAATTTTATTTGTTTAACTGAAAAATGCATGAACAGCTATAACAAATATTATTTATTTATTATATAGATGATTTAAAACTAAATGAAAATATCAACACATGAGCAAATCCATATCAGTGGAATTTTGGAACTTAATATCTTTTTTCAATTACAGCCTGATTTTGGTGGCAATATAACTTTGCGCCATTACTTGATATAGAATATATTTCTTTCAGATGCATAGATTAGTTGGACGAACCAATTTACAAATTTGAGATCCTTCCACAATCTGAATATAAAACTTTTTGAATACATTATAATAAATTTATACAGTCTTATTGATGTCAAAGGAAAAAAATACACAGCTTAGGAACAATTAACTATGTTAAACATAAAATAAAAACATCCAACATGGCTAGCCAATAAAAGAAATAATAATAATAAAAAAACTTGAAATATGAAAAGATGTGTATAATGCAGATAAGAAAAATATCTCAATAATATATATAAATAATATCTCAAATAAAGATAGGAAAATGCAAGATTTCATTTGTATGAAAAATATTTCATAATTATAATAATATAACATAGCTTTACAGACTACTTTCTTAAATTTTCAAAATGAATGGCAATTTGAGAAATCATATGTCCTTCAAGGAGGGAAAAATTGGACCTCCTAACTCTATCAATCAGCCACTCCTGAACATATAAAATTTTTAAGGAAATACATGAAAATAAACTACATCATGTGATTTAAATAAAAATTTTTGGTTCAAATGGAAAACAAATATGAAAACAATAAGGCAGAAATTTCTTTATCAAACGTAAGTTTTCTCTCTCTTCAAATCTGACATGAAATTTCATGTAGATTAACCATATATTTTATGAGCTAATATTATAATTTAGACTTTGCAACATATATTTAAACAAAAGTAAATAATATTCTATTAGTATCTTTAAATTGCAAACTTATAGTAGAATACCCTTTTGCTGGCAGAAACTGTAAATTAATGTAATTCACTAAAAATTACAGGTAAACTTCTAATGACAAACTAAAATAGAAATTAACACAGAAGCTCAAAGACTATTAATCATTATGGGTTGATTTAAATATTAACTGATGAAGTTCTAAATTAACAGACTTAAACTAAATCTATTTTAATCATTCACATTAAATTTTGACTCCCATAAATATATATTTTCATATTTTATTTAATAAATAATACATTGAAAGTATATGTAGAGATACATATAAAAATAAACCAAAAAAATCTAAGTAAGGCAAAATTCAACCTTACATTGGTAGTATTAGTTTTAAAAAATGAATGTATTTCTCTACAACAATGCCAATTTAAAGCTCAGTTTTCTTTGATTAAAAGTTCAAGTTAATGTTCTTCCGCTTCACACATTCTAATGCTATTCATTTATTTATAAGCATGATGCTTAAAAAAGACTATGTAAGTAAATAGCATTTCAAGAAATATAAAACCATGGTTAAGAAATAAATCAAATAAGATTTTACATTCTGACAATTTTTGTTGCGCACACCTTTTTAATAAAAATACATGAAAATTTTCAATACAGCCCTACACATACACTCGCCCACACATACTTTGCAATAAGTGGTCACTTAATTGGATTTCCAGGGCTATATCTTAAAAATTTTTTATTAGGATTTGATTATTTATTATAGCTAAGCATAGGAGCAGAGCTGTGGCTAGGTATTTTTTCATAGGAAGCAAAGAAGTAAATATGTACCCTTATATTTAATCAAATTAATGTAGCTCTACACACAAATTAATGTACTCTCTCTCTTCTCTCTTTTAAATTCAACAAAGTTAGCTGTGCTAAGTTCATGCCATAACTTTTATAATACTTGCAATCATAGCTTTATATGTGTAATAATTTTTTAAATAAAGGTACCTTTCAGATAAATAACTAATAATACAGAAATAAAATAGAAAGTATTGCACTTTTTTTGCAATATAATTTTTCTTGCTTTTAACAAAGTAAAATTGACAATGATTTTTTTCAATATCTACTTTATGTTCCGTAGAGAAAATAGTGATATTTGAATGTATATTTTAAAAACTATTCTAAGTTTTCTAAAACTTTTCAATCCTAACAGTAATAACTGCCAATGTTAAAAATATTTTGAACTCAGTTTCTAATTCAGATATGATTAAACTAAATTGTATTCTTGAATTAATTCATATAACATTTGATTTTGGTTTAGTGACTAGAATTATTGAAATAGTGTACTTCCTAAATCTAGATATTTCTGATGGAATATCTGGAGCATTTATATCATTTGGATATTTAAATGCTAAGTTAGAAGCTGGTTCTTTTTTTAAATGATTAAGCATACCTCTCTGCTTTTGCAGATAGTCCTCGTGTGCTTTGTTAAACTCAACATTACCTAACCTACCCCCTTCCCGAGGGGTCGACACAGAGAACTCTGTGAAGCTACTAGCTAGGATCTATACCTAGGCAGTCTCGGCCATGGGTGTATAAAAGCAACAGCTTGGGTGGTTCCAGAACTCTGAAGAAAGATCGTTTCATACGGTCGGGCTGAAAGGGGATTGGCAAAGACTACTGCTCTGTCAGAAGAGAGGTAAAAACTCTACTCCGCCAAGCGGTTGGCCTGCCGGAGGGAGTGGTGGCCCTTCGGTGAGGAGAGAGGTAAGAACTCTGTACTCCGCTTGATGTGATTGGCCCACAGGGATAAGGGTTTGAGCCCTTCAATAGTACTGGTGGAAGCATTTTAAATGACCAGTCAGATCTCCAGGTGAATCCTGAGAACCAGGAGTGGTGACCCCATGAGCCACTCCAACAGGAGGTAGCCATGGTTGCAGAGATTTTCAAAGTCTGCCACCTCGGATTGGGAGCGCAGGCTGGTAGCAAAGGTGAGCTTTTTCCTCTTGGAGAACGATGACTGGCAACCCTCCCCTTGCACTATATAGGGGTTCTCAGCTGGGTCAAGTCAGCTAATGATGGAGCACGTAGACAAGCATTACTATTATTACTTATCCTTAACTTTAAAATAACTAAATCTAATAACATTAATTTTTCACCAGTCAAAGGAACTGGAAATTGGGAGCCATCTTATATAATTTGTAATATCTTCATTTTAGTTATAAGATTAAAGCATACATCATTTCTACTATGAAAAAATACTTTTATAAAATTTTTTTTTTCATCAATAGATTTTTGACAGTCTGACTTACTAACTAAAGATAATTCTTTTTTCATGTTTGTTCATTTAACAACAAATGTATGAAGTATTTAATAATATGAACAATATGAAGTATTTAAATGTATGAATTAATTATTAACAATATGAAGTATTTAAATGTATGAATGTAACAACAAATGTAAGACATTTAACAACAAATGTATGAAGGCCTAGGAGATGGGTGCATTTGTAGAGGACTTTCTAGAGGAAAATAGGCTCATATTTACGTCTCCTGTGAGGAAAAAAAAATAACCCATGCAGACAAAACATTCACTAGCATTTGATGTTAGATTAATCCCACTATTTAGCATGCAGCTTTAATTAAAGTTTTTGATTGCAAAATTTTATTCCCCTTTTGCTTTCTTGCAATATTAAATTCCCCAGAAAAAATATTTAAAATTTTAATCTCATTTTCTTAAAGAGAATATTAGGATCAACCATTGTAATGATTTATCATTTGAT